AATGGGGGAAGTTACAAGGAGACAAGCATTCTTGTACCACGGCTCAGAGCCTGTTAACTTTCGCCCATGCATCTTGGGCCCACAGTATTTCCCTGGGTCAGTAAATACCCCCTCACGCGTTCCCCATGCCCATTGCCATGTGTTCCTGACAGCTTCCATCCCAAGATGGTGCCACAAGCCCCTCCTTCCACAGCTAACTCACCACAGTCAATTCTCCGCAGCAGGCCCCACCCCTCAGAGGAACCAGGACCCCTGGGGAACATACTCCACCCCTTTCCTCTGCTCTTACAATCTTTCTGCCAATCTTCCGCTAAGGTCCCTGAGCCTTGGAGGGGGTGACAGATGTAGGGTGATCTCTCTTGTACTGTGGCAAGGTGACTTCTTGGACCTCCCCATTTTTCCTCTTCAAGCTGTGGCCATTGATCTAGTTCAGTGGTGTTTCTTCTACTATAAAGACAAATGGAAGGGAGTAGACACATTTAAACAAGCATGAATGTAAATACAAATGCCTAGAAGATATCCCAGTAGGTGTACTATATTCATTAAAGAGTATACTTGTGATGGCTTCCCACTAGGGCCTGTAGCCTTTCTCGACACAATGTGTTGGCCTGGTCTACAGCACCAGATGTGTGTTCCACCCCTAGGAGCGGGCCTTAGCCAATTGGAAATTTGTCAGGTGTACGTACATTGGTCGAGCCATTAGTGCACTTGCAGGCATTTCTTGGCATGTCCATGGTGTGCAGTATGCAGGGTTCATTGTTGAGTAGAATCATAGGGGATCCTTTCTTTCCTAACCATCTACATAGTGCCTTCTGGCAATATGAACCTCATCCACCCAGTGGCATGGATTTTTTTTGGCTTAGTCTCAGCTCCATCTCCTCTTCTTCAGCAACATGGCCTTACTGACATTTCTAGTGTACAGCCGACATTAGTGGCAATAGCCTTGGTGAATTTGAGGACTTCTAGTATCTCTCTCTGACCAACAGTTCATAAGGGGGCAACCCACCCCTGGTACTGTAGATTTTCTTAACAGTTGTGTAGTTTGGGAGTCCCTGTCTCCATCCTACCCAACCATGTAAGATTCCCAAGAATCTTACAGCTGTCGCTGGCCTTTGCCTCTTCAAGTATCTTTTAAATGGGTTTCACATCTGTAAAACACTCGAAGTAAGGTTAACATATATTAAATCAGTCATAGACAAGGTCTCACACAGCATGGAAAGGTTTTGTCCATTCGTATTAACTGTTTTCTCCATAGATCCTTGTTAGGTACTGTAGCATGGGTATGAGGCATTAATTTGGTTAGCTTTTACCCTTTTTAGTTATCCCTTTGGGGTCATTTTGCACTTGGGGGATTTTACATGGAGTCTCTTTGTATTCTTCTATTTTTGATACACTTACAGGTGTTGGCTCCAGTTGCCTGACCCTGCACTGGGCTAAGGAGGCAGGGGTTTCTCCTGTCCCTGCTGCACTTGTTGGTTCCCTGAGTCAGGCAGGCCCTGGGTCTGCTTCCTGACTGTAGCCATAGCTGTCATTTCTCCATTGACCACACCTGGCTGCTGGGGGAGAACTTGGTGGGAAAAACTGCTTCCACCCCTAGTGTAGCCTTTATGAGAAGAGAAATACATCTTATTTAATCCTTGGGTATTCTTAACCACCCCAGGACAGTTTTTATTCTTTGAATGCCTCTTGTAAACTGTTCTGGTTTTAAAGCCTTCCAGAAACTCCTTAGTACCGAATTTGATTTTCTATCAATCTTTCTCTGGGAATTTGAGCTCTACATAAGTCTTGCCACATTTGTCTTCGAGTAACCCAAATGGGCCATTTCTTCTGTCTGGTCTCTTTTATATCTCTCATAGGGTGTTCTGTTGTTTTACAGACACGTTTTACATGCTGTGATTTGCCAAAACCTGTCTCACTTTACAAAGGTCTTGTCCCATTAAAGGGCTTAGTAAAACCAGTAAAGCCCATTACCATTCTTGAGGTCCCAGTTAGATTAAGCTTTCCTTCATATCTCTGGTGACCACTGCCTTATCTGGCCCAGTGAACTGGACATCATATATTGGCTTTCTCATACCTAGTTCTCTCAGTAATGCCTACCCCTCCTTTATAGTCCTCCAGCCCCTGCTAATCATGTTAGTCTCCCTTGGTGACAACCAGGTATCTTCAATGCCTTCAATCAGTCATCCCATTAAGGACTGCTTAGCCCTGCATTGGCACAAGGAAGGATGGGTGGTTATTTAACTCAGCTGTGAAGCCTCTGAAGGACTTTGATGTCATTTGCTCCCATGTCCCACACTCTCACAAGCCACGTGGCTAGGGGCTCTCTGATTGCTTGCTTGCAAGTTTTCCCTAGTTTTAACAGTTCCAGTGTGGAGTCTTTCCTAGCTACAGCACTGTTAGCTTTGTTTTTCCTTTTGTATCCGTGGTTGAATCTGAGGGGCAGCCTTAGCTACTTTTATTTTTAGGTCATTTTCTTTTTTATTATTGTCTGTCTTTTCCTCTGAGTCCTTGGACCTTGCACAAGTTAAAGTGTCCCATTTTTTTTCTCTCTCTCAAGCTCTGTTACTGGATCTGCCAGGACCTCTCTAGTCTTTTCAGCTTCCCCTGCCTGGGGCACATCTTTTATTATGCAAAGTGGCCATGCCCCCTCTCTGGGGGTAAAAGTTTTTCTAGCCTCTGAATAACCTTTAACAAATCTTCACATACCTGCAACATACCCCCACATTTACAACATAGCTGTGGCCCACCCTTCTGCGTGGCTGGCCTCTTTTTAGTAATCCCTTGTAAAAACCACATCAGCACCACCATCAGCGCTCTAGCTTTTTCCAAACTTCCACGGTTTGTCATTAACGCCATTCTGTTGGCAGCTCCAATTTTCTTGCCAGAGTTCTCTCAGGGTCTCTTGCATAATCAGAAAAACCATGTAATATATTTTTATGTGAATTTATTATGGTTTATGCCCTTGGGTAGGGAGGGGGTAAATGGGGGGACTTACAAGGAGACAAGCACTCTTGCGACAGAGCCCGCCAATCCAGACTACTCCCGGGCCTGCCCATAGTCTCCGTTAACTTTCGCCCATGCATCTTGGGCCCACAGTCTTGCCCTAAGTCAGTAAATGACCCCTCTCACAACCATGTGGGTGAGACACTGGGGCCACCGTTCTCTTCATACCTATCACTGCACGTTCCCCATGCCCGCTGCTGCACATTCCTGCCAGCTTCTGTCCCAAGAGGGTGCCACAAGCTCCTCCTTCTGTGGCTAACTCTCCACAGTCAATTCTCTGCAGCAGGCCCCACCCCTTGGAGGAACCAGGACCCCTGGGGAACTCACTGGTACAGGGTGTCACTGAGGCAGACTTGCAGGCCCAGGGTGTCACTGGGACTGTAAAGGCCTGCTGGAGTTCATGCACAGCCGAGTGCTCCCTCACACCTTCCAGTGCTCATCCTGGAAAAGCCAGCAAACCTTTCTTGCATCTCCATTCCAATTCTGACTCCTTCCCACCCCTTCACCGCCACCTTACACATGGTATCTTCAAGTTTTCTTCACTAATTCCAGCCCCCTACAGTGTCTGCCATAAAATCGAGGAGGAGGTTAACTTGGCAAGCTGATGTAAGACTGGGCACAGCAAAAAGCAACACACAGATGAACTTGGGAGACTAGTCCCCTATAATTCTCCTCAATGACAGACCCCATGTGTTGCACTGCTAACACACCAAACAAGATGTTCCTGCTAGTGCAATAGCGGAGTGTCTGGTGTATGCACAAGAGCAAATTTTTTATTGAATATAATGCCCACTCCGAGGGGTGGAACACACATCTGGTACTGTAGACTCAGCCAACAGCCAACCCCTGTGGCAGGGGAGACTATAGGCCCCAGTGGGAAGTCACTGCAATTGCTTTATTAGATGAAAATGATGCACCTGCTAAAATACTAACCAAGCATTTGTGTTTACACCATAGGTTAAGTTATTATAGAAGTAACTGTTTAGATGTTCTTGCTTCTTGCTGTGTGTGTTTTTATAGTAGATGGAATCCCACTGAAATTGGCCAGCAGCCTTTGGAAAACAGATGATACAGAGACATGAAAGTTCAGTGCTTTGCCACAGTGGGAGGAAGATCATCCCACACTGTCCACCCCCTCCAAGGCTCAGGGACTTTTGCAGAAGAGGTTGGTGGAAAGAATGTAAGATCTGGAAGAAGGAGTGGAGTGTTAACTGAAAATGTCCTCCAACCACTATGCTGGCAAGCTATAGTCACACATCCTTCCCACACTCATCAAGGAGTTGAGGGGGGAGTCAGTTACCCCTCCTACCCAATCAGTCGACCTTAACTGCATGTGGAGGGAGGGGCAAAGGATATGTAAGCTGAGAATACCAAGCGACATCTCTCTCACCGTTTCCTGCGGCTGTCGGGAGGTCACAAGATCTGTATTTGAGTGTTGGCTTAAACACACACTCATTACGGCACACCTGTAAATGTGGGGTGCCACTCTATGCTCCTACCCCTACCTTATGCTCTGTTAAACCCCTATCCTATGCTCTGTTAAAAAAATAATAAAAATGGGCTGGGCATGGTGGCGCACACCTTTAATCCCAGCATTCAGGAGGCAAGGGCAGGCAGATCTCTGTGAATTTGAGGCCAGCCTGGTCTCCATAGCGAATCCAGGCCAGCTGGGGCTACAGGGAGACCCTGTCTCAAAAAGACCAAAAAAATAAGATAAAACAATAAATAAAAAATGACAATAGAAAAAAAAAAAAGACTGGGCATAGACAGACTTCTGTGGTGCTGACTGGATGGGGGGAATCACTGACTGGCACCAAGCAGGACTCCCTGCCTAAACATCCATTAACAAGCTTGTCCCCCCACCACATACAAGTCCACTTCGCTTAGCCTCTAGACTCATTTATCGTGTGACAAATATTAAGATTCTCTCTTTAGGGCCAAATATCCCATTGCATTTATCTATACCACAGTTTCTGTCTTTGTTTGTCTGCTGACAGCCTTGGGTCGTTTCAACAGCTTGATCACTGTGACTAGTGCCGCAGTGGACAGAAGAGTGCAGCAGTCTCCAGTAGGCTGTGAATTCTCCTTTGCATTTATGCCTAGAAAAGGCAATCCCGGGTCACACAGGAAACTTTTTTATGTGTGTGCATGTGTCTATGTGTGTATGCCATGTGTGTGCAAATGCCCATGGAAGCCAAAAGAAAGCATTAGATCTCCTAGAGCCACAGGTGATTATGAGCTGTCCGATGTGGGTGCTGGGAACTGAGCTCAGGTCCTCTGGAAGAGCAGCAAGTACACTTACCACCAAGCCAGCTCTCCAGTCCCCCACACAGAAATTTTGTTTTTCAGATTTCTTCAGAAATCTCTATACTATTTTTTCATAATCGCTGTGTCAATCTATGTTCCTCAGAACAGTGCAGAGAGTTCCTTCTTCTTCATACCTCACTGATACGGCTCATATTTGGACTTTAAAAATATAGGAAGGTGGTCTTTTCACAGGAGCTGAGGGGCTGCCTCCTTGAGTCATTTGCTTATTTCATAATTGCTGCTTCAAAAGGGAATGTGTATGCTTTGTGCTTGAAACCAGAGCTGCAGACATGGCCACAGGCTAAGAGAAGGAAGGGAATCCAGCATAATGAAGCATATGTCTACCTTCTGTCTCCCAACTTTCTTCTATGCAGCTGCCAGAATCTGGCAATTACCCCCAAATGCCCTCTCAGAAGAGACTTTGAAGTTCTTAGTAGATAGAAAAGTAAATACCTAAACAAAAGTTACAAAAATCTTGGGAAGAAGAGATAATACTAAGGAGAATCTGGAAAAGCCGTGGGGAAATACATTATTTTATAAACCTACTTAAAAGCATAATGTAATATTTATATGTGTGAGTGTGTGTGTTTGTGTAGTGTGTGTGTGTGTGTGTTTGTGTGTGTGTATACACGTATGTGTGTGTATACACGTATGTATAACTGAAGTCTAACAAAAATCTCAGTGCCAGAGTTTTTGGTCAAAACTCCCAAAATAATATAGGCTATTGCCACAGCCCTTGGTTGTATCTAAGAACTTGAAGGTAAGACCTTATTGCTAAAGACACCACATACTTTGAACATAGGACTTGGAGAAATTGAGGTGGAACTGACCTGGAAGCCCCTCCCTGAAAACTAGCTCTCATAGTATAAGAAGGTTCTTTGTAAGCTGCCAAAAATAAAAGCAATCAATGATCCTACCCAGCTATAAAACATAGCAATGATTGGCAAAATATCTCTATTGGTGCAATACTGGCACTTTTATCTTTGGAGAAACCAAACAGCTGTCTAATTTACTTAAGGCCCACTCAATAGGAGGAAATCCATGGTGGTACTGTAAACATAGCCAAGTGCCCATGGCTGGAGAGGTCACAGACCCTAGACCACTTTTCTAAACCAATGTCATTTCTTATTTTATTCTAAAAATTTATCCTTTTACTCACAGATAAATGTAGCTCTCACCACTCATCAAAGAAGCTTATTGTTGCAACAGATGGAACTATTACAAAGTTCCACAACTGATCAAAATGCAGAGAACAAGTGATTTTTGGGTGCCTAGCCACAGTTGCAATATCTATAATGCAACCCCTATACCTAAAGCTCAGGGAGTATCACTGAAGAGGACTGTAAGAGCCAGAAGACTTGGGCACCTGTGATTAGTGTCTTTTAGACAATGACAGGAAAGCCACACCCATGAAAACTCAGAAAGATGACTTCCTAAACAAGACCTGCATAGGACAACATCAATGGACATGTCAGTGTGGATGGGAGAAAGTTTACAAGACCCTAGCACTGGATGAAGATCTAGAAGCAATCAATGGATGTTATGGGAGGGAGAGTTCATTTTCTCTAGGGATGAGCTCCCTGACAGGTCATCCAGTCATCCAATCTCAAGTGGTCAGCTATAAACACATGTACATGAACTCAATACTACATATATATGTATATATATATGTATATATATGTGTGTGTGTACATATATATGTGATGTGTACACACATTTTATAGAATTATATATTATTACATGTATGTATATACATACATTTTATATGTATGTTTGTATATGTAAAAATAATGAAGGAAGGGGTCATGAACTCAAGAGGGAGTGGGGGAGACACGGAAGGAGTTGGAGGATGGGAGGGCAAGGTGGGAGTGATATAATTACAGTGTTCATATATGAAACTCTCAAAAAAAAATTTAACAAATTGTTGCTTTTAAAAAACACTGAAGGGGTACTCCAAATGCCTCACCCTGAGTCCCTGTTCAGGATGGAAGAAGCCAGAGCAATCTGAGTCCAGATTCCCTATCTATAATTTGGGTAACCTCTTCAGAGGATGGTGTGATAAGAATAGGAGGTAGGGATTGGCTAGGCAGTTAGAGTAAAAAGACCCCAAAGAAAAGTAGCCAGTTTCTGGGCTAACAGTCAAAATGTCCTTGGGCCTCTTAGAAACATACTCTGTTCCAAAGGCCAAAAATGTCAAAAGTATTTGGGAGCTCTTATCTAACCCTTAAAAGATTTTAGGGTTACCTCTTCAGAGTGGGGAATGTTAGAGTAGCAAAAAGCCCCATTAAAAAAAAGAAGAAGAAGAAAGAGTACATGAAGTTGTCAGGAGGGATAGATAGAGAGAGAGAGAAAGAAAGAAAGAAAGAAAGAAAGAAAGAAAGAAAGAAAGAAAGAAAGAAAGAAAGAAAGAAAGAAAAGTAAATGAAGTTATCAGAAAAAAGTGATGGAGAGATACGGGAGGTGCTGGAGGGGAGGGGAGGGTGTGGGCGTGGGTTTGATCAAAACACCTTATATGCATGTATGAAATTCTCAATAAATTTGTTTTAAATCTCACACACACACACACACACACACACACGAGACTTATAAAACTATTACACTATAATTGTCATAGATGGAACACACATTCAAGGCAGCCTGAAGGGAGGTGGTTTCTTTCAGCCTCTTTGTATAACAACAGTGTTCACATTTACACTTGGGACTCAGGAAGGGCAACGGAGATCAAATGGTTTCCTTGGCGTCCCTAAGAAGGGGCCTACCTACCTCTCCCAAATATTCCTAACTGGAAATCTTTCCTTAACTGTAAGCCTAGCACACCAGCTGCTCCAACATACAGTGATGTTATAAAGGAGGCGAAAAAACAATTTTCAAAGAACCGAAAGGATTTTGGGATGTAAGTTCATGCCATTTTATATAGTTTCATAAAAAGTATTTTTATAACTGAAAGAAATCATAGGAATTATCTAAACTTACCTCTATTTTACTGGTAAGGGGAGTTGTTTTTTAACATCTTAGATTCATAGAGTTTGTTCAGGGAAGTTATCAAGTGTCCATGTTATAACCCACAGAGCCTAACAAGTGTTAAGACTAGAGAGGGAAGGAGCAGGGGTGGGAGGGTTTACACCCCAACATAGACCAGAACTCCAAGTAACAGTCTAGAGTATCACCCATTTTCAAAGAGGACCCCTGGAAGATCGGGAAGGTTGTCTACAGTAGGAGTGCCCTGTGCTGGGGTGGCAGCTGCGGTACTGGAGAAGCCAGGGCAGCGAGGAGCTTTTGGAAATGCTTTCTTAGAGAACATTGTCTGTTTCTTGTGCATAATCTAAATGATTACTTGTGGCTAGTCATGCATGACACTCGTATGCTAGAAAGTTACGGATGGGCTATGAGAGAATGCCCATGAATTTTTAACAAGAGAAAAATATGGCAGGATCTATTTCCACGGTGTCACGGTAACTGCCTAAAGACTGTTGCCTTAACAGGAATAAAGTATGAGAACAAGCTTTGGGTACCCAAAGTTGCTCAAGGAATGCACCCAAGAGAGGAAGGTGGGAAGCAGCCAGCCAGGCCCTACCCAGGGAGCAAGACAAAAAGTCTGTGTTCCTTGTCCTATGTGTCCCCACCCCCCACCCACAAGTTCAGGGCCGCCTAGCTACACAGACACATGGTACCCAGAAGCCTGCTTGCAGAGCCTCACTTAGTGGGAAGGGCAGGATAAGATACTTTGCTGGAGGGTGCTGACAGTCACTGCAGGATGGTGTCTAGTCCACACCAGGTGTTGAGTAGCACCTCCTGTCTCTAAAAGGGGGTGTGGGGAAGGGTTTGGCACACTGAACGGAGCCTGGGGAGGAAGAGGCCTGTACTGACATTGGATGTCTGTCAGCGGATTATTGCCTTGTGCTTCCCAGGTAGGACTGGCTGCTCTATTTAAAAATTTTAACTCCAAACTTTGATTTTATAGGATAAAGCAAAAGATCAATGAGGAAATAAAACGCCTGAGACTGCGACAGGAAAAAATTGACAAAGAGCTTGACAGGTTTGCTCCACGGTCAGCTTTGTGGTGCTTAAAGCACTTAACTGAACAAACAAATTAACATAAAACCACAATGGTTTGTTGTTCAAAAAAATATCACCGGAATACCTGCAGAGTTTACTTATTTTTTAAAATATTTTATTATTTTTATTTTATGTGTATTATTGCCTGCACGTAGGTAAGTGCACCCATGTTGTGCAATGCCCACGGAGGTCAGAAGAGGCTGTCAGATACCCTGGGACCGGAGTTACAGATAGTTGTTAGCTGCCATGTGGGTGCTGGGATTTGAACCCAGGTCTTCTGCAAGAACAGCCAGTGTTCTTAACTGCTGAGCCATCTCTCCAGGCTCCCAGAGTTTACTTCTGAACAGTTCATCTGGAAGAACACATTAACCTTTTTATTCAAAAATTGCCTACCCTGCCAGTGTAATTAGTTGCCAAACGTTATCATCATCTATTAACCATAGGACTCAAGCCCTTTTAAAAATAAACTCGTAACCGTGCCCTGCCTAGACAAGCAGCCCAGCAGGCCTTGCTGGCCTGAGTGCCGCCCTGTCCACCTGCATCCCACTGCTTCCTCCACACATACAGACCTCTGTCCCCAGCGAAGCTTTCATTTATTTTATAAATTGGAGTTAAAAAGGGAGAACTGCAAAGTATTGAGACTTAACGTCCTCCAGTACACCCGAGTTCTCAGAGTACTAGATGAGCGAAGGCAATCCCCTAGAGGGACTGATTGGAACTTGGTCATTTGGTTCCGAGTTTCTCCATGCTCTTGGAACTCAAGCTGGATTTCCAGTCACAGGAGAAAATCCAACCTATCACTTCAGAATCATTATCTTCTTCTTCACCAAAAAACATCTGCTAGCATGCTCCTTTGTAAATTAGGAGACTTGGATGGGTTTCCAAACATAGAATACACGCAGGATGGGGTTCCTTACAACTAAGAACACACACAATGTAGGACAGTTCTTAGAGTGGTTCCAAATACGAACATTTCGGGAGAAAGGGAAGGCAGGAGTATTGGCTTGGAGATATAAATCCCACCTGCCAGTTACAGTTATAGGCACACATTATTACTATCCATAGGTAATCTTGTAAAAAGAGGTGGGTGGAGAGGAAGCATCACAAAGAGGCGATTAGCTAGTGAGGATGATTACAAAAACTTCGTGAATATACAAAATTCTTGGATTGTACACTTACAGTGTGAATTTTAGGCTATATGACCTATACCTCAATAAGGCCAATATTTGGGGACATAGAAGAAACAGATCTAAGGATAGCATCCAACTCAGCGACACAAGAGAGCAGAGTTGCGAAAGGGCACCAGGGATGTCTCAGAGCAGTTTCAGCAGGATTATAAACTTGAAGGGTAAAAGTGGGAGGCAGAGAGTAGCAGGCGAAAGAGAACTGAGATGGAGGATGGGAAGTCAGCCGGGACAGAGCAACTGAAGGGCTCATGTGGCCCACAGAGTCCTCTCATGAGGCAGCCCCACTGTGTGCTCGTAGACTGAATGCGGATGACACCTAGAGCAGGCCTTGTCCAGGGTTTGCCTGCTGCCCTCCCTAACAGCTTCCCTAGAAAATCCAACAAGTTTAATAACCTTCTAGACCTTTTTTCACTTTAGCATGTGTTTCTCACAGGAATGTCTCACCCATGACCCAACCAATGCCACTGCCCTCCTTCACCATGTGGTCTCGGGGAGGCTCCTGCTGCTTCCCGAATGCAGCTCTGTAATATTTCTTGAATTCATTCTTGGTGACAGAAACCCTGGCAGATCTGGGCTTCCTGCCCTCAGTGAGCTTGCCTAGCAGACACCCTTGTACAAATGAGTCTTGACTATCTCCCTCTCTTCCTTCCCTGTGCCTCTTCTTAAAGTCCCCACAGAAGCCTGGTGAGTGAGGCAGTTGGGGCAATGCCGTGTGGACCATCTAACTGAAGGGACTGCTCCTCTGCCGGGCTGAGATCACAGGGTGACAGGAACTGAGGCTTCAGGGAAATGCTTGGGTTCAAATCATCTGCTTTCTAGCTCTACAAATAGGAGTGGGTTGATCTGAACCTGTTTCCTCATTGATAAAATAAAACTGCCCTTACTTCCTAAGACTGTAATGGGGGGTAACTGAATTCACAGATGTAAAGAACTTAGCAAGCACACAGCACAGTCATTGCAAACATTAGCTAGAAGATGCATATAGACATTATCTCATAGGTTAAACTTTTTCTTTATTCCATTAGGCTCCAAGCAAAGGCTTCCAAGTACCCCCAAGAAGTCAAGAATGAGTTTGCGAATTTCCTACATAAACTGGTATGTCTCCTTCCTGGAAATGCTTAAGCAGTTCCTCTCTAGCTTCTAACCTACAGACATGACAGCATTTCATAAACAATGTACGGTCACACCTAAGCTGGGGCACAGAACTCAGTACGTCCTTATAGGCTCATCCATATACAGATGTGAGATGGCCCATTTTAAAGTGTAGTGACAACCTCATACCCGATTTCCTCGTTCCCTGCTTTAGGACCAGAGACAGTTGCAACTAAAACCCCCACACACGCAATTTGAATTAGAAACTAGAAGAAAATTATTAGTACTTGAAGTATTGATGATAATTCATTAATAATTCAGCAAAAGTACCTTGGGTACTATCAGCTATGTTAAAAGACTGGTCCCTGTGCTCAACTCCACAAAATTCAATGCAAACTAGAAGAAGGAAACGAAGAGACAGAGACTGTGGGCTACCCTTCTCCTGGCCCCTTCGTTCGGCTCCTTCTGGCATTATCAGCAGTCCTGTTAGGTCTGAATGGCCTCATGCTTTCCCAAAGACAAGAACACGCAGGCACTCAGGTGCAAAAAATAAGCAGGCTGGACCATGGGAGGCCAGGAATGGAGCAAAGCCTTTCATTTCCAGTGTGTCAGGGTCCCCCTCAAGCAGTCTAGACTCCAGAGAAATCCCATTGGCTGCAGATCTGATGCCAAAATGGGACAAGTCAAACTCCTACACAGGCCAGAAAAGCAATAGAAAATAATGAAATACCCATGTGTTTCTATTAAACACATTTCCTTTTTAACAGAATTCTTCCTTATATTTTTCTTGCTCTGTCTTTCCTACTACTGATAAAACCACGAGCACAGAGCACTCATTAAATATAACAGCAGTGTACATATGTGGGCAAGGGGCAGACTCCGCAAGGAGCTGTGCAAATGGCAGTTGGTGGGGAGTGGTCATCACCCTCACATGCTGCAGCTGCTACCTTAGCCCTCGTTCATTGCTGCCTGCAGGAATGTCAACCACATGGTTATCAACTTCCATCAGCAATCCAGATTCTTCTCCAAAATCTCCAGACTTAGACCCCATACTCAGTGGGCCAAGCTAAATCCATTTGCAGATCAGATGTGGTGTATGGGCTGCCTGTGTGCCGGGTCTGAATGCTGCCTGAATTTGAAGTTCTTCAAAGCTGGCTCCAGCCAGTGCAATGGATGAATCTTCATGGCACAACAAAGCAAGCCCTACACTCGCATGGAGCTTTCGCATACAGTCTGCAGGTTATACACATCCCTGCCACTCTGCACTCTCTCCTTACCAGCTGTCAAGCTCTGTCCACCCTTTAGGTCAGTTCAAACTCCCATCTTCTTTATGAACCTTATCCCCAGTGCTCCCATCTTTATCCTTTACGGAGAAGCTGGATATATCTCACAGTTTCTAGAACTCCATTACCTATGGAAGGACTAGAACATAGTTCTTTTTCTCAAGTCAGAAAGCAAAAATAGTGTAGAATGATTTCAATGAATGGTGTGCTCCCCTCACAGACGTGTGCTCACTGGACATTGAGAACGACTGTGTCCACAGACTAACGCTGGACACTGAGAACGACTGTGTCCACAGATGTGTGCTCACCGTACATTGAGAACGACTGTGTCCATAGACTAACGCTGGACATTGAGAATGACTGTGTCCACAGACGTGTGCTCACTGTACATTGAGAACGACTGTGTCCACAGACGTGTGCTCACTGGACATTGAGAATGACTGTGTCCGTAGACATGTGCTCACTGGACACTGAGAATAAGTGTGTCCACAGACGTGTGCTCACTGGACACTGAGAATGAATGTGTCCACAGACCTGTGCTCACTGGAAACTGAGAATGACTGTGTCCACAGACGTGTGCTCACTGGACACTGAGAATGACTGTGTCCGTAGACATGTGCTCACTGGACACTGAGAATGACTGTGTCCACAGACGTGTGCTCACTGGACACTGAGAAAGACTGTGTCCACAGACGTGTGCTCACTGGACACTGAGAACGACTGTGTCCCAGACGTGTGCTCACTGGACACTGAGAACGACTGTGTCCACAGACGTGTGCTCACTGGACACTGAGAATGACTGTGTCCGTAGACGTGTGCTCACTGGACACTGAGAATGACTGTGTCCGTAGACGTGTGCTCACTGGACACTGAGAATGACTGTGTCCGTAGACGTGTGCTCACTGGACACTGAGAATGACTGTGTCCGTAGACGTGTGCTCACTGGACACTGAGAATGACTGTGTCCGTAGACGTGTGCTCACTGGACACTGAGAATGACTGTGTCCGTAGACGTGTGCTCACTGGACACTGAGAATGACTGTGTCCGTAGACGTGTGCTCACTGGACACTGAGAATGACTGTGTCCGTAGACGTGTGCTCACTGGACACTGAGAATGACTGTGTCCGTAGACGTGTGCTCACTGGACACTGAGAATGACTGTGTCCGTAGACGTGTGCTCACTGGACACTGAGAATGACTGTGTCCGTAGACGTGTGCTCACTGGACACTGAGAATGACTGTGTCCGTAGACGTGTGCTCACTGGACACTGAGAATGACTGTGTCCGTAGACGTGTGCTCACTGGACACTGAGAATGACTGTGTCCGTAGACGTGTGCTCACTGGACACTGAGAATGACTGTGTCCGTAGACGTGTGCTCACTGGACACTGAGAATGACTGTGTCCGTAGACGTGTGCTCACTGGACACTGAGAATGACTGTGTCCGTAGACGTGTGCTCACTGGACACTGAGAATGACTGTGTCCGTAGACGTGTGCTCACTGGACACTGAGAATGACTGTGTCCGTAGACGTGTGCTCACTGGACACTGAGAATGACTGTGTCCGTAGACGTGTGCTCACTGGACACTGAGAATGACTGTGTCCGTAGACGTGTGCTCACTGGACACTGAGAATGACTGTGTCCGTAGACGTGTGCTCACTGGACACTGAGAATGACTGTGTCCGTAGACGTGTGCTCACTGGACACTGAGAATGACTGTGTCCGTAGACGTGTGCTCACTGGACACTGAGAATGACTGTGTCCGTAGACGTGTGCTCACTGGACACTGAGAATGACTGTGTCCGTAGACGTGTGCTCACTGGACACTGAGAATGACTGTGTCCGTAGACGTGTGCTCACTGGACACTGAGAATGACTGTGTCCGTAGACGTGTGCTCACTGGACACTGAGAATGACTGTGTCCGTAGACGTGTGCTCACTGGACACTGAGAATGACTGTGTCCGTAGACGTGTGCTCACTGGACACTGAGAATGACTGTGTCCGTAGACGTGTGCTCACTGGACACTGAGAATGACTGTGTCCGTAGACGTGTGCTCACTGGACACTGAGAATGACTGTGTCCGTAGACGTGTGCTCACTGGACACTGAGAATGACTGTGTCCGTAGACGTGTGCTCACTGGACACTGAGAATGACTGTGTCCGTAGACGTGTGCTCACTGGACACTGAGAATGACTGTGTCCGTAGACGTGTGCTCACTGGACACTGAGAATGACTGTGTCCGTAGACGTGTGCTCACTGGACACTGAGAACGACTGTGTCCACAGACGTGTGCTCACTGGACACTGAGAATGACTGTGTCCCAGATGTGTGCTCACTGGACATTTAGAACATCTGTGTCCCCTTAGACAATGAACACTTCACGCCCCTTCCCAGAAGGAATCAATGGTGGAAATGGAGTGACAGAGCAGTGGCGCATGCCATTGCACCTCATAGAGATCCAAGTACCTTCAAAGAACTGTAAACCAACCAAAATCATCTGTAGAGAATAGCAAGGCATTAAAAAACAGGAGCATAAATGTAAATAAACTCAGATCTTAGATTACTGGGTTTGAGAAAACTCAAATTCTTTCAACAAATCTGATTTAAGCTCTCTCAGGTGTTTACCTCTGCTAAGAAGGAAATGCACTAGAAGTTCATTTTAGAATGAATCTTGGCTTTCTCTAGTATGACTTATCTTTTAAGAAAAATTGCAGCCAGTTTGCCGATGCCTCTTGGAAACAGACTAGATGATGAGGCTCAATCTTGAGTCACACATTAATGAGCAAACACAATCACAGGAAACAAAATTTTCTGGATAATTCCAGCCACAAAACAACTACTGTCTATTATCTGAATATTTCAGCAAAGCCTTCTTTGGTCTAACCATCCTACAGTGCAGCTGGGAAAGGGTTTCTGGGTCCTTCGCATCCATTAGCTGTCACCTCATGGCCAGACATTTCTGCCCAATCTTGTTAGTGTATTAAGTGCTCACTGCCCCTGCTGTCAGTGTTAAGAACACACTTGGCTTTTCCATACTCACTCGCACCTACTCACCACACATCTGCCCTACACTGGTCCAGGCATAAAAACAAGCCTTGCCAGACACGCAGAAGAGGGATATAGGGACCAATACGGCTGGCTGCCAGATCAATAGACATGCCTCTTGGATTGGAAAGGTGTTTGAAAAATAGTAGTGTAAATTGGAAGAAAGTAAATTCCAGGGACAAATTGAATTGTCTGAATTATTTTGATAGTTCTCTATTTCAGTGTGAAGGAAGGAGACTCAGAGTGTCCTTCATCTAAGTGTTGGCACTGTGAGCAGTGTGTATCCAAGCACCAAAAGAACTGAAATGATTATTCCTATGATAGACAGCAGGTGGTTTGTACAAAGTTTTAAGTGAGCCACAGATTTTCTTCTACAATCTATCTTTTGGGCCCCTCCCTGAAAAGCGATCCTTACCATCTTGATAGATGGGGGAATCTCACGTTCATTATACTATGTCTCTGAAAATCTGTGACTCTTTAATCATATATTATTTTCATAGCGTATGGAGACTAAACTTGAGGAGGAATTTGGAGTACCGCCATCTTCGCCAGCACCATCATCACCATCACCACCTTTAGCATCGGCAGCATCATCCACCACAGCAGGGGACTAAAACTGCAAGGAAGAAAATGCCAGGGGAAGACAGAGGAGAAGTACGTTCAAGAGCAGTACGCAATTCAATTCTACCAGTTCAAGTGTGGCAGTGCCTTTAATTCGGGTCCAATTCATGTAATTTAAAAGAGTACATTTTCATTCGTCTTTACAATCAATAAATCTCAGTAAATCACACTTCAAAGATCTAAGCATATTCTTGGCTCTTATTCACTAAAAACATATTTTAAGATGGAAAAATAATCATTATGAAGCATAGAGAGCTTTCAACCATTTCTTTGAAAATACATCTTGATAACAGCAACCGTTCCTCATAATACAAAACAGAAAAAGGATTAATTTACTGTGGCATAGGAAGTCCTGCCAGTTCCCAAATGCCCTAAATAGTTTCTCTGAGATTTTTACATTGTTTAGGCCTCAAGGAAAACCAAGGCCCCTCCTCCGGGTTTGGTAGCAAACAAGCTCTGCTTCTCCAGAGCTATGCTGGAACTGTTCCTCTGGTAATAAGCTTCATGCACATTTGTGAGAAAGTTGGGCAGCATGTCAGCAGGTACTATGGACACTGTGCAGCCTCCCCATCCTGCTCCAGTAAGTCGAGACCCTTTAGCTCCAAAATTCCTAAAACAAGAGAAAAAAATATTATCACCTATAAACAAAAATAAGAGCCATTTGCTTGTTTCAGAATACATAGTCTATCCAGGTTCTAGGAAGAGAGTTGTGGTGTTTTTCAGAGTGTTGACAAGGATTTTAGGGTCTTAAGAAATGTAAAGTGGGGGCTGGGGAGATGGTAGTGTCTGCCACTCAAACATGAGGACCTAGACTCAGAGCTCCAGCATCCATACAAGAGTTGGGCATTATGCCCCCTATCTGTACTCCACCATTGGTGGGTGGCGGTGGAGACAGACAGATCCCTGGAGCTCATTGGCCAGCTCACCTCACAGAATTGATGAGTTCTGTGTTCAGTGAGAAACCCTGTCTCAAAAAATAAAGTGGGAACATAAAATGTAAAATATTAAAGAGTAGAGCAATATAACAAGTCAAGCTCTGGTCTCTACACACATGCATGTGCCCTCACACCCACAAATGTAAACACACACACACACACACACACACACACACACACACACATACATACATACACACAAGAGATCTATACTGGATGTAATTTGAAACCTCTTTTTTCAGTATTGGGGATGAGAATACTTCATGAGATCTGGGAATAATCTACTACGGGCTTGATCCCATAAAGTAGCCACTTGAAGACCTGTGTAGCTAGCCTACCAGTTAATCTGGAAGGGGAAGTAAAAAGAAGACGGGCACGGGGCATGAGCAACATTAGGAGTCAGAAGGTCACTTAAAAGATGCTGACTCAAAACATGTGCAGTGCTTTGCACTGGGAGCTCCTCCACCAGCTATTTCAGCTGCATGCTGTTTTGTTATTGTGTGTTTGTGTGATGTATGTGTGCTATGCACATGTACATGTTCCTTTGTGTGCATGTGTGCAGGTTCACATACATGTGGGAAGGCCAGAGGCTGACATTTGGTGTCTTCTTCTATTGTTCTCTATTCTTGTTTTGGTCTTTTTGAGACAGGGTCTTCCTGTAGCCCTAGCTGGCCTGGAACTCACTATGTCGACCAGGCTGGCCTCGATCTCAAAGAGATCTGCCTGACTTTTCCCCCTGAGCCAGCACCTTCTGGGAGTAAAGGCATGTGCCACCACGCCTGCTCCTCTATTTTTGAAGATGATGTCTCTCAGTGAACACAGAGCTCCCTGATTCTACAAGACTAGCTGCCTGACAAGCCCCAGGGATCCTCCAGTCTCCAGCCCCGCAGAGGTAGGACTGCAAGCACTCATTATTATGCCTGGCTTTTTATGTGGGTGCTGACAATCCAAACTCAGGTCCTCATTGCACAGCAAGCATTTTACTGACAGAGCTAGCTCCCCACCTCTCAGTTGGGTTCTTAAGGTACTAGCTTTGTTCTTCATTTACTAAAACAGAACCTGTTAATAAACTCTTACTTGGTTAGTATGCTTAATCACTAACAGAAAATTATGCATACCTTTCCACAAAGGGAATGGTTCCCTGTAGGTCCACACCATCTTTCCTGAACTTTCTAGATAGAACTAGCCTAACTGGACCCATCAGATGAGAAACAAAGCAAGAGATCATCTTAGCCTCTATCGGCCAGGCACAACCTTAAACCTTAGATCTGATCTAAGAGGCTTTGAAGTATAAGGACCTTTCAAATATGTCATTTATTCTGTTAATGGAAGTTAACATATACTCCCAAATAATTTTTTCTAGCAAAATTTAGTCCAAATTAGTAGTAGACTTAAAACTTCATTACTAGGTCTGCCCAATTTTGTCTCCTCTAATGAGCTATTTCACCTCCTAGAAAATATCAACAGAACAGGCAGAACACAGAACACCCTGTCTTCCCGGATGCCAGGAACATCTCATGTTGGCAGCTCACCTCTCCCCAGTGCTTTCCTCAAAGGCTTTCATCATCAGTTTCTTTCACTAAAATATGTTTTTCATAGATACTCAAGGAAGAAATAATGTTTACAAACCATGAAAGATTACTAATCTCCTTGGGACCCTTAAAGAGTACTTTATGGCCCAATCACTGGATGAGGCCCAAACTCTACCATCCAGGCCAAAAAGTTGCTCTAATCAAGAGATTCTAGAATGATCCTGAGTTCCTAAGCTAGCAAAGTGCCTGTTTATAGTTTGATTTAAAGGAGAAACTTTTTCATAGATAATCACATCAAAAACTACCACCGGGGCTGCAGAGATGGCTCAATGGTTAAGAGCACTGGCTGCTCTTGAAGAGGACCTTGATTTGAATCCCAGCACCCACATAGCAGCTAACAAACATCCATTACTCCAGTTCCAGGGGATTCAATGCCTCCTCTGGCCTCCGCAAGCACTGCATAACAGGTGTACTTACAAACATGTAGGCATAACATTCATATACATAAAAATAAAAATTAATTTAATTAAAAAAAAAACAATCTACCATTTTTAGGCAAGCACGGTGGCACACGCCTTTAATCCTGGCACTTGGGAGGTGGAAGCAGGCAGATCTCAGTAAGATCAAGGCCACCCTGGTCTATATAGCGAGTTCCAGGCCAGCTGGAGTTACAGTGAGACCCTGTCTCAGAAAGAAACACAAAAACAGAACAAACAAAAACCAAGAAACTACCACTGTTGAAGAAGCTGGGAGAAACTGAGGAGCTCTTGTAGCATCTCAGAAAGACCCTAAAATCTGGGACTCACGATCAACCCCGGCCTGGTCTGGGTAACACTGTGCCCACCAGATTCTCTATGAACACAGTTCACCACGTTTTTTACTATCTTTTATGGCTTTTTAGGCATGTTTTCATATACTTTCAGTCCTTAAAATCTGCCATTTGTCTTCTTAAATAGCTCGGGCAATAGTAGCAATAATACCAAAATGAATCCTCTGTAATTTCAACAAGTAACCAACCAGAAGCAAAAAGTACTATTTTTTTCCTAAATCAGGGTACCAATAGCAATGTGTAACTGACATGTAACTAACTTGACTTCCAAACTGTTCTGTGTGCCTGAGGAAATCCTACTTTAAAATTTAAATTTACGTTTTGTTAATTTAAAATAGACATTTTATAATTAGTCAAAGGTCATCTTCATTATTTCATCTCATGTAATTAAAGTCCTAACATTAATTTAATTTAAAAAATAGCCTAACTACGTAAGTGTAGTTTGTCTGCCTTTAAAAAAAAAAAAAATTCTGCAGTTGCTGGCTAGCCTGGAACTCACTATGTAGCCCAGACTGGCTTTCAACTCCCAGCAATCCTCCTCCCTCAGCCTCTCAAGCAACTTTGCCCAGCTCCTGGTGTTTGGTTTGCATTCTAAATGGACTTTCTCTTGATGAGCAGTAAAAACAAAACAAAACAAAACACACACACACACACACACACACACACACACACACACACACACACACCCTGCCACAAAAAAACCAATTAGCAATGTCTTCCCCCCCTCCCGCCACTTGGGTCATGAACTTGTCCTGCTATGTGTTTGTCCTGGAGACAGTCCTGAGGGTCACCTGGGAAATTTGCTGTAGCTCAGATCACACTAAGAACTTCACTGACATTGGGTTAGGACATTCTAGGGAATTCTAGATAGTTGAGTTTCATTGACTCATTCAGCTACTTATATTTCCATGCACATAATTTCAACAAAGTGTTCACAAACACAAACAGAATTTAAAGCACTACAGACAGAGGAGGAGGACACCGAGTCTCTGCCACAGTACTTCTTGAACCCATTTCTACTTCCGCTTCCCTCCAACCTGCTCGGGCTGCTCAGTCTCTGGGTGTTGCCATTTTTCACAGTGACCAGGAAGTCTGGAGCTGGTGTGTTTATTAAACGACATGGTGCTCTGCCAGGGCGGCCTACACAGGCATCCCAGGGCCCTTCCAGCATGATGGCAGGGCCTCAGCGGGAACAAGGGCTCTCCTGACCTTCGTCTGCTCACTGCTTACTACTCTTGAGCACCAGCTTTGCCCAGTTTCTAATGCCATCCTTTACTTTATTCCTGCTATCTTTTGCTTCTTCAGAACTCCCTCCTTGCCTTATCGCTTCTCACACTTCCACATGAAAGAGTGCCCTAGCATGGGACAGCGGAGGATTGCCCAGTTTTGCATAATACAGAAAAGCCCCTGTATAACGCACACCCCAACTTTGGAAAGGGACAGGGGTAGTGACTGCAGTGCCTTATGCCTCTGGAGCTATCATCCTTGCACCTGCTCAGCCCTGGAGGATGTTCCAGTAGTAACGACCAGCTAGAATGTTTGTAGGGTATTACCTACTGGTCACATGACAGCAGAGAAAATCTTCCTTATGTAAGAACCTAAGGACCCAACTATTCTGGCCAACGTTCCCAATATTTAAGAACTTCACCTTTCAGTATGGGAGCACAAAACCATGAGGCTAGGGAATAAGCACAGGACTGTGACCTTAGCACATGTAAGGCTGAGAAAGAACAGTGATGAGTAGTAGGCGAGCCTTGAACCACAACTCAAAAAGAAACAGACAAAAAGAAAAAGAAATAAATTCATTTTGATAGGCAGCAATTGGCTTTCTAAACAAAAACAACCCTTTAAAAGGGGTGGGGCCCCTTAATCTGGACAGTTTTTTTTTTTTTTCCCTCAGAAAAGAAATGCAGCATGTGAAGATTCTAGTTGGAAGCACTTTAGGAGATTTTGAAGGGTCTGGAGAGATGGCTCTGGGATTAAGAGCACTTGCTGCTCCTCCGAAGGATTTGAGTTCAGTTCCCAGCACCCATGTGGGGGCAACCAAATACATGTAACTCCAGTTCCAGGGGTTCTGACTCCATCTCTGGCCTCTGGGGCACTGTAGTAGACACACATGCACACACAAATAAAAATAAATCTTTTTAAAAAAGAAAAGGTGTCCATTTAGGAGTCATAAATCTTTCACTAGAGCCACATATGTTATGTGTGGACCTGCAGAGGACTGGAAAGGTCACCAGACAGCACGAATCAGGTGTCCATCCTAAGTCAGCATCCAGAGTTGCAAAAACAGAATCGGCCATCCCCTATCCAGCCCCACCCGCTGCCATCCCACCTCCCTGTTCTGCCTGGCTTTGCTCAAAGTTCAAATGCTGGAAACCATGACAACAAGGCTTCCCACTGGAGAGCTTCAGGTCTAGAAGGAAAATAATAATAACAAAAAAAAGGCCCAAGGCTGAGTGTAGTCCACCTCGGCAGAGCCTACTGAGACCGTGGTGGCAGGTGTGGGAGCCAGGCTCTCCCACAAATCTTCTGTGGGAACCTGTTCAAATTGCTCCCCCTCCTTCTAGTGCCTTCCCAGACCTGTTGCCCCTCTTCTCCTTCCTGCTCAGAACCTATGGCACTGTGACGTCACTCTGACCGAGTCGTGAAAAGACCAAGGGGAAAAAGGTGCCTTTTAGAGAAACAAATTTCTTGGCCCCAAAACCAAGACATTCTCTAGATTCCTCTCTTTGTCCCACAAAGCAATGATCTAGAATCTTCTTTCATGGTATATGGCACTGAATCACTCATCACTCTCGTTGCTCCCTTTCTCTCTTCAAAGCCAGTCTTCCCACAGTTGACAGGCCACACAGTGGCTGCCCCTGAACCTCTGCTCTCGCCCACCAGCCCGCTGTCTTCCTGCTGGGTCTCACTGAGGACAGCCCATCTACTTGCTGTACTGACTTCTTTTCTTCCGTCAGGTCTCTATCCGGGTATCACTTCCTTAAGATGCTTTCTCAATCATTCCGTGTGTAGACTACCCAGTCACCTGCTATTCATCATCCCCTCCAGTCTCTGTCAGCAGCATTTATCTCTACCGCTCAAACTACTTTGAATTATCATTTGCCTCTTTGCCCACAGAAATGTACACAAGTGTTGGATGATGGTCCTGAGAGAAGAAAGTACATTAGAGACTTTCAGGAAGTTGGCAAACTGCTTCCATGGTTTTTCAGGGATGAGTCAAACATCCTTCTCCCTTCTAAGTAAAGACGCTTCCTCCTCATTTCTACATAAATCATTCCACCTCCTCTTATGTCCAAGACTGAGCAGTATTTGTCACTTAACTGGGCCCTTCACAATTTCAAAAAAAGGAGCACTTATAATAACGAAACAAGTTCTGGAAGGTTTGGGGGCGATGAGTCTGACGCCAGCAGGGTGAGTTTCAGCAGTGCTGTGTTCAAGTCTCTCAGCAGGTTGGGTTCCACATGCCATTTGTGATCCACTGGAGCTGCCTGGTTTAAACTGGCTGGGTGTTGCAGAGGGAGGCAAGCCACAGGCGCCAAGCGCTTAACTGCATTTCCACTGCTAATTGCATGCAGCACTTTTCATCTTCTCACAGCTAAAGGACAGGGAGTCATTTGGGAGTGCTCCCAGCTTCCCCTTCAGTCCTCCCCCCAGGTCAGGGAGAGACCTCCTGGTAAGGGGACTCTACTATCCCCATTCTTTCAAATTATAAGGAAGTTGTTTGGGGTTTTCTAAACGAGTGTCTCTCTTTATACGTCTGTCTTAGCCAAGTTTATAATCTGGGCTTTCTTTTGCCTGTATTTCTGCTAATTGTCCAGAATAAATATGGAAGACAGGAGATGGGCTTTCTAAGAGATTCTTTCAGCCACCTCCCCCAACAAACTCTCAGGCTGCAGACCGTCTTTTGACTATCCGTCTTCTGAACAGAACTTAATCAGGATGATTGACAGGGGTTTCTGACTAAACTACCATGAAAAGGTAACTAGAAGGCCCGTGTGGTAGGGGTCAGGAGGGTGCTATCCACCTACGGACAGAACTGGTTCCAAACTAACTGCAGACTCAGTGCCCCACAAGCCAGGTCTAAACCTTTCATCCTACAACGAACATGCAGGAGGAGGGCTCTACATCACGGGAGGGTCCTACATAGGAAGGATTTGCATGGATTATGAAAATGTTTCTTTTTTTTTTATTAATTTAAACAGTACTCCTTGTGGGCACGCCTTACACACACACACACACACACACACACACACACACACACACACAGCCCTCTCAGCCTCACCGGCAGATGTCTACCAGCTGGTCCAGCTCAGGGCAGCTGCACTCGTACATGTCCCGGCAGCTCCTGTGGCTCTGGTTCATCAGCTCTCCCAGCAGCTGGACCATGTTGTCAGGTGCTTCTTCACATATCTTCTTAAACTGGAGCACGCGTGCAGCCTCGCTGTACACGTGCTTTGCCCGCTGATAGAGCTTAAAGGTGAGCACTGAGGAAGGAAAGCATGGGGAAGGAGGTCAGAAAGGATTGCTGGACCACACCTTCCTAAGAAAGACACAGTGAGTGTGTATGTGTGTGTGTGTGTGTGTGTGTGTGTGTGAGAGAGAGAGAGAGAGAGAGAGAGAGAGAGAGAGAGAGTGTATAGTTGTTTGGTTTGACCTGAGACAGGGTCTCACTACGTAGCCCAGGCTGACCTTGAACTCAAGATGCTCCTGACTCAGTCTCCCCAGTCAGTGCTGGTATTACAGGCATGCCCACCACACCCACCTAACACATGATTTTAAGGGTTTCTAGTTCTGCCTGCATTGTCAGGGCCTTATGTGTTCAGTAGGTCTCTATTTCAGTTAGAATTTATCATAGATACAGACCATCTATTGGCAAATCAGTTTACTTACTTTCTTTATATTGATCTTAATGTTTTCTCTCTTTACTCAGCACATCCAGAAACGTGCCCATACATGTACAAACTAAACCTTCCTATTGGAAGAGAGAGGTAGCATGTACTGAGCATAACCAACATGTCAGCTGCTTTAAAGGGACAACTTCATGTAGCTCTCAACATTCATGGGGAGATGAGAAGCAACATCCCTGCTAATCGGAAAGGAGCCTAAGCATAGTGAGGGGTCCTGACTCAGCAGAGTGAGAAGCTGGGGTCCTGCCTAAATGGCAGAACAAACTAAGGATGTCCGGCCTTACTGCCACAGTCTTTCCAATATGCCCCACCAGCAAGGCCCATTAAAAATGCATATGCCATATATAGATGAAGGCTATACAACAAGAAACACAGTGTCAGACAGGAGAAATTTCCCTTCCAGTTATTGGTCAGCGTAGTCCAAAAGACTCCTAAAATAACACAGACTATTACAATAGCCCTTGATTGCCTCCAAGAACTTGAAGGTAAGCTCTATTGCTGAAGAAAGGACATACTTCAGACATAGGACTTGGAGCAATGGAGCTGGAACTGACCTGGAAGCCTCCTCCCTGAAGGCTAGCTCTCATGGTATCAGAGGACACTATGCAAGCTGCTTCTAGAGAAAATCAATGGTCCAACTCAGATGTAAAGCCTAATAAACAATGACTGTCCCAGCAAACTATCGCTATTGGTGCAGTAATGGTACTTTCATCTTGAGAGTGATCAACAGCTGTCTAATTGAACTTAAAGCTTTCTCAATGGGTGGGAACTCAAATACATATGGCTGGAGAGGTCACAGATCCTAGAGAAAAACCTGTGCCTGTCACATCCCTAGACAAACATAATTTTTTACTATATGCTAAATAAGTATCCTTATATTTACAGACAAGTATACATCTCACCATCCATCAAAGAAGTTCCTTTTTGCAATGGGTGGAGACTAACCACAACTGGTCAAAAGAAGAGAATAAGTGTCTATGAAATGTCCAGTCCTGGGAGATATATCTACAATGCAACCCCTACATCTGAGGCTCAGGGAACATAGAGAAACGGGGGTGTGGGGCAAAGAGAATATCAATGCATCTCTCAATTCTCACCAGCAAAGCTTCCTCATACAACAGATGGTAATCAACATGGAAAGCCACAACCAGCCAAAATGTAGAGAAGAAGAGACTGCAGAGTCCATGTCCCTGGGTAGGACTCCTATATTAAACCTCTGCCACTCAGGGCTCAGGGACCATGGTGGAAGAGAGAATGAAAAGGCTGTATGAGCAAGGCATGATAGATGACCACAAGGAAACTTTTCCAGGCCGTTGGGAACTTGCTCGTATGAACTTACAGCAGTTGTGACAGCATGCGCAAGACCTATGCAAACTCAAACCAGACAAAAACCCAGCATAGAAGTTGGGAAATAGGTAAGAATCCCCAGCCTTAGCTGAGGAACTATTGGCAGATGATCACTGTTGGGTAAGGGAGATTTGGTCTTCTTTAAGGGAGTGATTAATACTTGATAGGCTGACTAGGCTCCAGTGGATGAACTCATCATGAGGGTGTATCTGGGGAGACAAACAGGCCTTAAAATATTTGAAAGAATACATGAAATCTGGTGGGGGGGCATGGAGGTTGCAGAAAGGGGAGGGAGTTTAAATATGATTAAAATGTATGAAATGAACAAAAATTAAAAATAGAAAAAATCCAGTCATGTGTACACAGCTAGGTTTTTACGTTATGGTTTTCTATGCCCCAAACCCCCTAACTTAGAAGCCGTGAAATCATTCCTTTCTAGTTCTTTTTTCTCCTCTTAAGTGCCTGCTTCCTTGTTCTTGCCTTGTTCTTTTTTATTTTTTAAATTTTATTTATTATTTTCATTATATGTGTGTGAATGTATTACCTGCATATACATGCACCCATGCTTTGCAATGCTCACAGTGGTCAGAAGAGGGTATCAGATCGTCTGGAACTGGAGTCAAAGACAGTTCATAGCTGCCCTGTGGGTGCTGGGAGCCCAGGTCCTCTGCAAGGGCAGCCAGTGCCCTTAACCGCCCCGCTGAGCCATCTCTCCAGCCCCTGTTCATCAGTCCTTTATTGCTGTATTATAATAGCCTCCTGCCTGTCCTAACCATACTCCATCCCTATGTTCACTAAACATTTGCTTCAAAGTCAACTGTGTGCTAGGCAAAACTCCAGGTGGAGCAAATGAGCCAGAGGATAAAAGAGACGTAAACAGGGTGCATGTACTGTGAGAGGAGAGTCCTGCATGGCGCACTAACCAGACAAAGGAGGTAGGAGGTCAGAGACGCCTCTGGATGGCAACTATTGTGCTCTAATTCTGATTCTGCCTCTTCTGAGGACCTTGCAAAATTTGGTTTTATTACTGTTGCTGTCATTTTTATTGTTGTTTTTTTTGCTACACGTATGCTTCAAACATGGAAAAAAGTATTTAGAATAAAATAAGCATCATGTGTCTATCATCTAGTGTTATTAAATGCTCATGTTTTCCCATAGTTATTTTACCTTTTCATAAGAAACAAAATGACAGGATTTAAGCTAAAAAGAAAATGCATATAACAGTAATTATGTTTATAAACATGTATCCTGTTAAGTAGGAGGGAGACGTGTTGAGAAGGGTTTCAGTGCGACCTGAGTCACCTCAGCTCACATTCTAGACTATTTATGAGCTGCAGCATTTTTATTATACAAGGAAATTTTTCTGCTCCTATAGAAACAACAATTTAATTATAGAAAACAAGGACTTACTAATTTTCTTCCATCATTCCTCAGCATTGTATCAAATTAACATATCTTTAAGACTGTATTATGTTAGATGCTTTAAGTTTTAAAATTTCTATTTGGAGGCTGGAGAGATGGCTCAGTGGTTAAAAGCACTAGCTGCTCATGCAGAGAACCTGGGTTCGATTCCTAGAACCCATATGGCAGCTAACAGTCGTCCTTAACTCTGGTTCCAGTGGACCAGACACTCCCTTCTGGCCTCTGAGGATAGGGTACTGTAAGACACAGGTGCACTTACATGCAGGCAAAACACTCATATACATAAAATACAAAGAAATAATTTCTTTAACATTTCTGTTTAAGTTGTTAAGTTTCATAAAAATCATTGAATGAAATTTGGCTTGGGATCAGGTAAGATTTCAAAATAATTTTAGAAGTGGCCTTACACATTTAATACTGTGTATTATATGAAGAGGTGCTCTTGGCATTGACAATTATAAAATCAAAATGTTTATCAACTCTGAAAACACTGAAGATTATCTAAATCCTTAATTATTTACACAAAACAAGCAGACACATCTTCCTCACGACCATGCAGATTTGTTCTCATCTTTAGTAAATGATAAAATTATATGACTAACAAAGAAATTTTAAAATAATTTTTATGACTTGTCAGTAAATGTTTGATTTGTACACCTATTTTATACACCTACAAGTCCAGGGTTGTGTAAAAACTTCTCAGGTGTAAAGGGATCACGAGTGGAAAACATTTATGCAGCCCTGGTTTAAGCCATCCAGGATATGGTGTTTTGTTACAGCACCCCCAAAGAACACAGCACTCTCAGGGTCTGTGTAATAATACAGTCATCAGACATTTCCATAAACTAATAATAAAGGAAGTTTTTAATGTTTTCTCACACAGGTTCTCAAGTGAGTCATGTGAAATGCAGCAAACTCATGTGGATTTCCCATTTCCCTCAGGGACCCACATTCAGTCACTGAATCTGATCGGTACATTAAGTAACTGCTCCTCTTCACACTGCTACATCCAGACTTACACTTTTATTCTGTTAAAATCTTTGTCTTAGTCACTTCCCCCTGTAACCTACATTTAATCAACAAGCTAAGCTCCCAAAACAAAGCCCCACTCATGCCAGTTACTACCCTACACCACAACCTTTCCCCAGTGTTTACCATAGTTGGGAACTGGTGCTCAGTCCCAACCTGTAGGGACCTCCTCCTACAGCCAGACCGCCCAACCTGTCACTCTAACACTCTGCTTCTGGATAGACTCATTAGTCACCCAGAGAAATGACTTCTTCCTCCTTCTCTCTGGGTCAAAACCTTACCTCTTTCTAAAGGCTCAGATTACATTTTACATCATCCATGGAGGCCACGAGGGGCTCAGCTGGAAATAATTTCTTGACTGAATTTGTACCGTGCTTGCAGTCCGTGGTCTCATCTGGTGCTTATTGTACACTTTCCACAGTGATTATTTCTCGGATCTCTGCAAAAAGCTTGCAGACTCCTAAAGACAGACATTGAGTCTCTTAGCACCACATAGCCCCCAAACAACACTCCCTCCATGGCACCTCGACATGGCAGAATCCAATGGGTGTTTATGTTTGATTATGAAAAAATTAGGCCTTAGCTTTTAACCCCAGTTCAAAATCAAATGCTTCCATCTAGGCCTTGCTATTTTGTTTAAAAAAAACAAAACAGGGAATGCCAGTACTGACAGCTTAACCAAGTACTGAAGCCGAGGAAAGGGGCCAGCAGTAGTCCCTTCAGTTAGGTCTGCAACTGCTGACAGTTGTGGGTGAGAAACGAGAAGACAAAGGGCAACT